TCAGAATTCCCCATAGGTGTTTGCCCGTGCTTAAGATATTGTTTTTTTTTTATAAATGAGGTTTTCAAGTCCCCTTCCCTTCTTGCAAAGGTATTGCTAAAAGAAATGTAATCTTAAAGCTGTTTTAAACCCAAAACCAAACATGTAATATTACAGCTAATCATTAGATGTGGTAGCTGCACCACTTCTAATGATTTGTAAGTTGAAATATTACATATTTATTTTCTTATGATTTTTGCCCCTCTGTTTTCACCTGGTGATCTGGCCAGTAACACACCTCTTGTATTAGAGTGCCCTCACTCTGGATGACGGAGCACAGGGGGCACCTTTGGACGGCAGCATTGTCAGCCAAAGGAGTGTTAGATGTACTAGCGGTCAAGATACACTAACAAACTGAAGCCAAACTCCAGTTACAACAGTTACAGCAAACAGTTTTTTTTTCTTATGGAACAAAAGGTTTTACATACAAAAATAAAGTTTGATCATTGTAAGCACCCCTGCTAGTGTTTGTTATTTAAAAAAAAATTGAAGCCTTTAATATCACTAACACGTCATACAGCTTGCTATGGGGGGTACCCGCTGCTCCGTGTGTCCATTCACACACAGGGCCATGGATTGGCCCCACCCCCTCTCTTCTTATTGGCTCACTGGCTGTGATTGATTGGCTGGTATCTCAGCCAATGAGGAGAGGGAGTCCCAGGATTGCCCAGACTCCAGTGCACATCGCTGGATCGGTGGGTGTAAATGGACACAGGTTCATTTACATCTGCCGGTCCATAAGGATGAATAGAAGGTCTGATCAGGTTTGTCTGAAAAAACCCACCAGCTGAACAAAGAAAACAAAAATAACCATGTGTACTCAGCTCTAGACTGATACCAGCAATGTAGGGACATTTTTTTTCCTTTCAGTGACACAATCAATGCAAAGACACGTTTTCCTTTTGTGACACTATCAACTCACAGGCATCATTTACTCACACTGATGCTGCAGCATTTCTTTACACATCACTATTAGCCCCATATTTTACTGCAGAATGAAATGTGTACTGCTATTAAACTCATATGTTACATATAACCTGGGCACCAAATGACCTTGTCCAGGCACTGCTATCACCCCATCTAAAGTCATTATGTTTATTAGAAAGAGTATACTAAAAATCAATACCAGTAAAACCACCTGAAATACTCCAATGCTAGAATATCATGATAAAACAAAGGAACAGCAGTGGGATCCTCATTAGCAATTTAGTAAAAATGTATACAACCAGTGGCGGAACTACCAGGGTAGCAAAAGTCACACTTGTGACCAGGCCCTGTAGTTCCGCCACTGTGTGTGTGTGTGTGGTGGGGGGGGAGCAAGAGCTGGACTGTGTCTCCCCAGCTCTGCATTGTTGCTGGCTGTAGGGCTCTGAGGTGAGAGTTTCTCTAACAGGCAGCCCAAAACCAGAGCTGACAGTTCTCCCCTCCCCTCCACCCTCTGCACGGATGAGAGAGAGCGAGCTGGCTATTCTCCTCCTCCCACCCTCTCCTCCTGTGTCTGCTCCTACCCAGAGCCAGGGCAGTTTGAACTGAAGCCACACAGCAGGAATAGAAACAGTGCCAACAGCCCATCCATGCATCCTGTGAGTAAAGTCTCCCCTCTCCACCTCCTTTCCTTCCTCCCAGTACAATATGTAAGAGGGGCTCTGGTGTAAGGCAGGCGCTGTGGACTCTGATGTGGAAGGGATTTGTTGAGCAGAGATCACCTTAAATCAGAGTTCCCCTCTGTCCACAGCATTCCCCAGTATATCAGATCCTCCCTGAATCAGAGTTTCCCTTTACATTCTAGAGTCTACAGAGATCTCCCTTACAGTGTAACTGAAAATTCTGAGGACTTTCGTGGTGGGGGGCTCTGTGGACTCTGATGGTGGAGGGGCTCTAGGAACCCTGATTAAAGAGGAATTCTGGGAACGTTGATGTAAGTTACCAGGAACCCCCTTATATAAGAGTTCCCCTTACATCAGAGTCTGCATAGTTCCTTCTTACGTTAGTGTTTCCTCCTTACATCAGAGTTCTGTATTCCTCAGAGTCCCCAGAGTTCCCCTTTATATCAGAGACTGCAGAGTTGCCCCTTATACTGTAAGGGAACTTTGCAAGTTCAGGTGTAAGGGGGGAACTCTGCGGACTCAGATGTAAGTGGGGTGATTAAATCCATATGATTAGAAATGTTATTTATTTGTGCGGTTTCTAAAGCAAGCAAAATCCTCTCGTATTAGAAGAGGTATAGACTCCAGAGAGAGATATAATTTTATCCCTATACAAATCATTAGTAAGACCTCATCTGGAATATGCAGTTAAGTTTTGGGCACCAATTCACAAAAAGAATATCCAGGAAATAGAGAGTGCAGAGAAGGGCAACCAAACTGACAAGAGGAAGAGGAAAAATTAGAGGAATTGAATTTATTCTCTCTTTAGCCGAGGAGATTAAGGTGGGATATGATCAACATGTATAAATACAGCAGTGGTTCATATAGTGCCCTTTATGATTTCTTGCACTGGTGCCCTGAAGGTTCTAGTTACACCTCTGTATTCAGTAAAACAAAATAGTGCACTCACTTGCAAAGTTCTTGACAATCAGCTCAGGTGGTGAATCCAACAAAATAGAGGTACCATCAAGCTGTTATAAAGCATCTGCTAATCTTGCTCCCTGGCCGGCATATCAGAGAACTCACATCTGACAGCTGTTAAAACCGCCAATGGCTGGCATCGAGGACTGCTATCACTGCCTTGTGGAACCTCTACACACTGATGGGAGGGAGAGGGAGGAAGAGGGTGGTACAGGGGGGGCCATTATGCATTTCAAAGGACACTCCCTCTTTGTCATAACCTGCCCCTATGGCTAGCATATGGATTTAAATAGGATAGGATCGGCCAGCAATTAATGCTATGTGTGGCCTGCAACTAGCAACACACATTGTATCAAACAGCAATCCCAGTCTTCTATTGCATGAGAGAGATGTTGTATTTAACCTCCCTAACAGTTTTCCTGAGTCTGGCATGGGGTTAAATCTAGCTGTCAAAAGCACGGACCCCAAAGCTGACCTGGGGTCAGCGCAAAATACATATCTGGTCCTGCAATCTGTGTCCCGGGTCCTGCAGCCGCCTCGAGCCATCCGCTCCGACCTTCCCCTGTCTCCTTTCCGTCTATCTCACGCTGATCTGTGTAATCAGCGTGAGACAGCCACGCTGTGTCGTGAGGGGAGGGGCTTGTGGAAGGTGGGAGTTTTAAAAATAGACCTGTGTAAAAATAAAGTGTTACTCTAGTGAATACATTGTAAAAATTTCCTCAGATACATCCATAGCGCAGTTTTTCGGTTTCTGTGACTAAACGGTTTTGCACTCATGGCTTCCAAAAAGCATCTCGTTAGCGCAAAAGCTGTTTTTGATGAGCTAGCAAACAGCAACAGTGAGAAGCTACTTGAATTAAGCGATAGTGATTCATGTGGAGATTTGTCTTCAGACACCGACAGTGAAGACAGCACCGAATCTGAAATTGACGTGTGATCTGCGAACATGGTGCACTATAGATTGCGGTACGCCAGCGCCACCATGATTCCTGTGCACCTGGTATGAAATTCCACGTTGAAGGTGACAACCCCTTGGTGTACTTAGAATTTTTTCTGACCGACAAAGTTATTGGAATAATCATGACGGAGACAAACATGTACGCAGCGCAACATACAGCAGGTTTTCACGAAGCAGAAAGTGGGAGCCTGTGAACAAAGAAGACATTTGGCTGTTTCTCGGCCTAATTATTCTACAAGGAGTAGTAAGGAAACTGCTGCAGAAGTGGTATTGGACCACCAACAAAATGCTTGCCACGTTTTCTTTGGCACAGTCATGTCAGAGTACTGTTTTTCACTCATCATGAAATTTTTGCCGATTTTGACGAATTGACTCATCCAGCTTCCAAACGAAAGAAAATTTGGGAAGTCTCCAAAATAATTCTCAGGAATTTCCCGCAGAGCTATGTGCCAGAGAGAGACATCAGTATAGATGAAAGTCTAATGGCCTGCAAAGGAAGGCTCAGCTGGGTACAGTACATCGCATTGAAGATAGCACGATTTGGTGTCAGATCCTACCTGTTGTGCGAATCCTTTACTGGCTACATCTGGAACACAATTATTTACACTGGCAAAGGAACAAAATTTGATCCAAAGTACAGCAAATGTGGAATGGCAACATCTCCCATCCTGTCACTAATTGAGCCTCTGCCAAACCAAGGTTACTGTGTAACAACAGACAATTTCTACACCTCTCCACAACTTTACGAGGTTCTTCTGCAGCACAAAACAGATGCCTATGGAACCGTTATGGCTAACCAGCGCAACCTGCCATCAATGATTGGAAAAAGCAAACTGAAACTTGGAGAAATAGTTGCCTGGCAGAAAGGCAAAATGATGGCACTGAGATGGCGGGACAAGGATTGTGCCTAGTGAGTACCATTCGCAATGCCTCCACAGTGACGCTACAATCAAAAGGTGGGAAAAACATTCAGAAACTGCAGGTAGTTATTGACTACTATAGCACCATGGGAGGTGTCGACAGAGCTGACCAAGCTATGACTTTCTATCCAGCAATGAGAAAGCAGCAGAGGAAATACTACAAAAAGATTTTCCGGAACCTGCTAGGGAGGTTAAGAAAACAATAACATTGTAGCAATTAGCAATCTTGTTCTCCTTGAGGCCTCTTTCACACTGTGCAGAGAGACAGAAAGCGGCACGTCCATGCTGACAGGAGAGAAATCTGTGTTTACACACAGATCTCTCCCTTTTTAGCTTCACCGATGATCACCGAGTGATCGGCACCCAGTGACTGACATCCTAAGGAGCCAATAGCAGCGTGGGTAGGGTGGCATGTGCATGTCCCATACCTGTAAATGCAAAATCACGTATTGTGGCAGTGCGGTAACCTGCCACGGTGGAAATCACGGTGGTGACCCAGGATTCTCGATTATACAGGTTGAGGGGCTCCAGGCAGTTCTCGTAATGCAGAGGAAACTGGTTTATCAGTTTCCTCTTTGGTTTGTAAAGCCTGTTTTGGGACCTGTGGCCTGGAGATTTCTAAGAGATTTGGGAGGGATGAAATCTCCAATCCTGGGTCCAGAGTTTGAAAGCAGCCAGCACACTAATGGTACAGGTGTGTGCAGGGCTTTAAATGAGTGTCTGTGTGAGACTGATGCTGTGTGCGTTTAAGGCTGTGTGCGGTCCAAGGACTCCAAGGCTGTGTGCGTCAGGAGGGCTCCACCTAGGAGAGGTGGAAGCCAGAAGCAGCAAGGGGCTGCTAGGGAGTAGCTGTGTGCTACTAAGTGTTAAAGGCCCTTTTGGAAGGCATCTGTAGGAGACAGCGGTATACCTGAGAGAGCCAGAAGGCTGAATATGGTTTCAATTGTTGGATGGTGGATACTCCTAGTTGTAGTTGAAATGCATAAAACACATTATACTCTCATATCTATGCCTAGCCATGGCAGCAGAGAACACGGCATATGATGGATCGGGTCTGTGGACCAATACAACCGCAATTAATTTTTTTTTTTTTCTTAGTAATGCCCATGTTGAGGGTTAGACCCCAAAAAATGTAAGTTCGGAAACCGTATTGGGTTTCCATGCGAATGGTCTGGCGAGGTTTGAATTTGGGTTGGCGGCGATAAATTGTTGTGCATATAAATTGCTTTGATCCACAATCAATGCATACAGATCTTCTGTGAAAAACAGCTCCAAAAAAATCAAGGAGAGTAGTTAAATTTGCTGTTTCCACCTGAATTCCGGGTTGGGCAGTGAATGGGGGAAGAACGGGTGCTGCAAAATTTGTAGGCTGCCAATCTGGATTTGCAAGCACATCCGTAAGGATACTATGGCCTGTGTACAAATTCTTGGTGGCTGCGGGACAATACTTGTGCTCACCACCAGCTTGTACTGCACTTATGGGACTCACCACGTCACCAAGTGATACTGCAGTGCTGTTATGTTAAAGATCAGGATGCACTAGTCCGCTGGTGCTCGCCAGTTCACCAAAAGGTAGCGCGGAACTAGTACTGGCACTCTGCTTCATATGAGAGTCATCAAAATTTACCGGCAAGTGCTAACAGAGATCAGGCCTGAATCTGCAAACACTGCGGTTTTGTGTGCAATGTATCAAGTGGCAGTGACCTACTGACACTGCACTTGCAGGGGGAGAAGGTGGGGGGGTAAGCGTAGGGGCTAAACGCATGTGCTGGCAGGGCTGATCCCACTAAAGCTGCATTTTTGGGGATACTATACTAATGTGACTGCTGGTATAGTGCTGATCTGATCAGATATTGATCCGTTCAGACACTATACTATCAATGGAGGATTATTGTGTATGAGCATGTTCCTGGCAATTAGGGGTTAAATTTGATTACTGGTGTACTGATAGGCAATCTGATGTTATCTGGGGAGGGGGCATGAAAACCACGGGAGCGTGAATCATATATATATATATATATATATATATATATATATATATATATATATATATATATATATATTGTGGCAGTGCGGTGTCCTGCCACAGTCAAACTCAAGTCGAAAACCCTGGATTCTCAACCAGGCAGGTTGAGGGGCTCCAGAGAGTTAATGTATTGCAGAGGAAACTGACTTTTCGGTTTCCTCATTTATTCAGTAAGTTTGTTTTGGGATCTGGAGCCTGGTAGATTTCGAAGAGATCTGGGAGGGATGAAATCTCCAATCCGGGGTTCATGTTTTGAGAACCCCCAGCACACTGATTGCACAGGTGTGTGCAGACCTTTTTGTAGAGGCCTAACCATAGTTCTGGGCTCCACCCCAGCAGTTAGGAGTCAGGCGGGCTCCACCCCGGCAGACAGGAGGTCTCAGCCGTGGAGTCAGGTGGGCTACACCTAGGAGAGGTGGAAGCCAAAAGCAACAAGGGGCTGCTACAGAATAGCTGTGTGCTAAAGGTTCGCTGGGTGCCAAAAGAACCTTTTGAGAAGAGTCTGCAGGAGGCAGACTTAAAACTGCTTGCAAGCCAGGAGGCTGAATACTATTAATTTGCTTGATGATGGATATCCCTGCGTGGGAAGAATTCTTGTTTATTTGAACTTTCTTGTAAATAAAATTGGGCAAAAAGGCCCTTAAACAGATGCGAGTTGCTGTGTGTTGAAGAAGAGCTCTACCACTTGAAGCGAGTACCCACATATGGTGGAGGATGCGGGCATAATTGGAGATCCCTGCAAAAGTAAGTTCATCAGTTATATGAACTGTGTTTCTGTGCAATGGACAGCACAATTTGGTGTGTGTGCAGGTGAGGAGATCCTGCAGAGAAAAAGGAACTTTCCTTAAAGAGACAGTGCTCCATTGTGTTGCTGGACTGTGCAAAAGTGTTGTGGAGTGACTGCAAAGATGGGGCGGTCAAAACTCAAAGAAGCAAGATTTTCTGAAATGAGAGACAGAGCCCTGTGGCTGGAGGGGTTGTTACCACCAGAACAAGCCCCATACATGGCTGCACAAAGTTTGCCACAGTGGGAAGTGCATGCTGTTGTCCCTGGCAATGCTGCTAAAAGGAAACCAGTTTTCTGTGTGCAGAGTACTAAGCCTGAAAGAGGATGCAGTGTTGGAAGTTCGGCCAAGATACTGCCGCAAGAGCGCTGTTTGCGGTGCAGTGAATGGGGGCACACTGTCTCCAAGTGCCCATTATCCCAGCTTCCAGTACGAGGTGACACAACCAGACAAAGGTCTGGGTATGCAAATGGGAAGCCTGCTTGGAGTTCCAGGAAGGAGCAGCAGGCTGCCACAAAGTTTCAGAAGAATGTGGTTGCCAATAGCAACACCTGTGACTTCAGATCTGCGGACCCGGTGAGAGAAGAGTCGTCTGCAGAGGATTGTGGCAACGCAGAGATGAGAGTTCAGCGCATCTGGAGGAACCCACAAAGTTCAGCTGGGAGAGTGCCATCTCCCATAGCAACAGGAGAAAGCCTGCCAACCAGGAGAAGGGGCTACAAGGGAGATGTGGTTCCGTATCCCAAGAAGGTTATCTGTGGAACCATACCCTGCCTGGAATGTGGTCAGTTTGGGCATGGTATCTTTACCTGCCCCAGATTATGGAATACCACTGATGAGGGTGCTACTGGGCAAAAGTCTTCATCTGCAAGCCAAGGTTTGTGTTTAAAAATGTTGGCAGCCACCTCTAGCAACAGTGAAAAGGTACCTGTTGTGCCTGCAGGGGGTGCCAAGGAGTCAGAAGTGCCTGCCACAGTATCATCCTATAACTGCATGGATGAACTGGCTGGCCTAAGCCAAGCAGAGGAGATGACAGAAAGGATCCAGATCCCTCGCACTCAAGTGAAGGTGAAGCCTGTTACAGTGGTGGGTAAGACTGGTACTTTTGAGATAAATGTGAGAGATACTAATGCACTGCTTGAGACTGAACTTGAGACACTCTGCTATAAATATGGGATACTCCCAGTTGGGAAACCCACTGCTGGTGATTGTGAGAAAGACTTGCCTCTGTATAATGCTTTTAGTGGGGAGGCAACGGTTAAAAATATCAATATGAAGAGTACTGGTATTGGGGTTGCACCAATGTCATATAAACAGAATGCTGAATTAAATGTAGTAGGGGTGACCACTAAGGATGTGTTATCTCCCCTAGCAACGGTGGTTAAGGTAACCCGGGATAACTATGGTGTTGCTCTGGTGGATCAGAGTGTATCTGAATTGAGTGATGAGAATTTTTTATTGCAGTGTGGCAATGGTGAATCTAAAAGGTATGAATGTATTCATAATGATGATGGGTTAATGCAATCCACTAATGCTAAAGTTTTTGTAGTGAATGACACGCCACTAGGTCACGGTGGTGAGAGTAGGAAATTGCAACCTGTTGTGCCTAGAAAAGGAGTCTCCCATTGTGATATGGATAATGAAGATATAGGTAATGGGTGTGATACAGAGCCACTCTGTCCCTCTGTGTCTCCTTCAGCGGTTGGAGTGGTACTGCGTAGTACCTCTGATGGGATCACAGGGACAATGGACTGGGACAGATGGGCAACAAGCTTGTTGGCATTTATAAAAGATGCTTCTGTGGGTAACAATGGGGTGGACATGGTTTCTGCTGTGCTGAATAGAGGGACTGTGGAGCAGCTATTAGTCCAGGGCGCTCCTGTCGCTGCTAAAATTAACCCACCGCTGGTAAAAGGCACAGTTAAGGATAAACGCTCAGCAGAAGTTTTGCCCACAGCCCATAAAGGAGTTAATGGTGTGGTATACCAAACTGATACCCATAGAGAAGCCGTGGAAGAGCTCATTGACACTGAGCCTCAGAGTATTTGGGTGAATCCCACACCTGGTTACGCTCTGGGAGAGCCCCAGGTTATTGTATTGGGTACCTCCAGCCGAGAGGAAGCCTCGTTAAGAAGCCCCACCTCTGAGGCATCAGTAAATGAGGGTCTCCATGTCTCCAGGAAGGTCTTATGGGTGGAATCAGGCTGTCTTTTTATAACAGACCTGCTGAAGGAAATGTTATCCTTCTGGAGTGTACAGCCGGTGTATACCTTGCTGTCTCTTCCATGTTCGGGAGAGCTGGTACAGTGGAGTCCCGCTAATCGGAGCTGGGTATTACAGGCTATACAAAACAAAGATGGTCAATATAGGAATTCTGTGATACCATCCTTGTTGGTAATGGTGAAAATTGTCTTTCAGTGCATTGCTGGGTTGCTTCATAGCAGTAATCTGTATGAGAGGCACACCAGAGTACTGTTGGACAGGTCAGAGGTTTGGGCAGAAGTGCCGGAAGACGCATGTAAATGTGATGTGGTTGGGGTCGTCTACCCAAATGCAGAATTATGTAGGGAAGGTCACTCTGGAAAAGTTTTCCAAAGGTCCAGTAAACGCCCAAGTTATAAGAATGAAAGGTCTAAGGGAAATGGCCCAAAGCTTAACGAGGGGATGTTAAAAGAGTTTGATGCCACAATAAAAGAGCCCATGTCTGTTACTAAAGGGTTTAAAAATATATCCCCTGTAAAAGTAAATGAAGCAAAAAGGGATGGTCTAGAGGAATTTGAGGGAGCACGTTGTAACGTTACAGGTACCTGGCACGTAAAGCTTAGGCGTCAACCTCAGGTTACAAAGGGTACTGAGACTTGTAAAACCCCCACTAGTGAAACGACTAGCATAGTCTTAAGGAACTTAGAAAGACAGCGCTTTTGGAAGCGCACTCGTAAAAAGGCACAGGGATGTCATAGAGCCCAAGTAAGGGTAGCAAGAGGAGACGAGGGAAGTCATGTCTTGGGGCAGGGAGTAGTGTCTCCCTTTGATGAAAATGAAGTCAGCCAGGATTGGACCTTTACAGGTGATAGTCGGCACAGAAGTGCTAAAGGAAGGGTTTTAGGTTTGTGTGTTCCGCCCCCTACGGGGTCAAAACAAAGGGGGGGGATATGTGGCAGTGCGGTGTCCTGCCACAGTCAAACTCAAGTCGAAAACCCTGGATTCTCAACCAGGCAGGTTGAGGGGCTCCAGAGAGTTAATGTATTGCAGAGGAAACTGACTTTTCGGTTTCCTCATTTATTCAGTAAGTTTGTTTTGGGATCTGGAGCCTGGAGATTTCGAAGAGATCTGGGAGGGATGAAATCTCCAATCCGGGGTTCATGTTTTGAGAACCCCCAGCACACTGATTGCACAGGTGTGTGCAGACCTTTTTGTAGAGGCCTAACCATAGTTCTGGGCTCCACCCCAGCAGTTAGGAGTCAGGCGGGCTCCACCCCGGCAGACAGGAGGTCTCAGCCGTGGAGTCAGGTGGGCTACACCTAGGAGAGGTGGAAGCCAAAAGCAACAAGGGGCTGCTACAGAATAGCTGTGTGCTAAAGGTTCGCTGGGTGCCAAAAGAACCTTTTGAGAAGAGTCTGCAGGAGGCAGACTTAAAACTGCTTGCAAGCCAGGAGGCTGAATACTATTAATTTGCTTGATGATGGATACCCCTGCGTGGGAAGAATTCTTGTTTATTTGAACTTTCTTGTAAATAAAATTGGGCAAAAAGGCCCTTAAACAGATGCGAGTTGCTGTGTGTTGAAGAAGAGCTCTACCACTTGAAGCGAGTACCCACAATATATATATATATACCCTATTCCAAAATATTATGCAAATTCTATTTAAGTGTCACAAAGATTAAATATTTTGTTTTTTAGTGTTACTCATGGATGGCATTGTGTGTCAGGGCTCTTTTGATCACTGAAAACAATCTCAGACACCTGTGATAATTAGATTGGCCGGTGAGCCCAATTTAAGGAAAAACAACTAAAGGAGAGTGTTCCACATTATTAAGCAGAGCACCATTTTCAAGCAATATGGGGAAGAAAAAGGATCTCTCTGCTGCCGAAAAGAGTGAAATAGTTCAATGTCTTGGACGAGGTATGAAAACATTAGATATTTCACGAAAACTTAAGCTTGATCATCGCACTATTAAGAGATGTGTGGCTGCTTCAGAGAACAGATGGGTTTGTGCAGATAAAGGCACATTGAGGAAGATTTCTGCTAGATCCATGCATCGGATCAAGATAGCAGCTGCTAAAATACCATTACATAGCAGCAAACAGATATTTGAAGCTGCTGGTGCCTCTGGAGTCCCACGGACATCAAGGTGTAGAGTCCTCCAGAGTCTTGCAACTGTGCATAAACCTATTCGGCCACCACTAACCAATGCTCACAAGCAGAAACGGCTGCATTGGGCAGAAAAATACATGAAGACTAATTTTCAAAGAGTCCTGTTCACTGATGAGTGCCGTGCAACCCTGGATGGTCCAGATGGATGGAGTAGTGGATAGTTGGTGGACGGCCACGCTGTTCCAACAAGGCTGCAACGTCAGCAAAGCGGTGGTGAAGTCATGTTTTGGGCCAGAATCATGGGAACAGAG